AAATAAATAAAAAAAAAAAATAAAAAAAATGCAATAACCGAAATGAAACTCTTATATTGCGTATTCTGTTTTGGCGCAGATAAAATGCGATGTGCGATCTGAACTCAAGTTGTGTTATACATGCTTTTTGAAGTCTGGCCACACTGCTTGTTTTGATGACAAATGAAGCGCTTACGCAGTTGACCAAGGGTATTTAATTGTGAAATCTTAATACATATTAATAAAAATGAATTTTTAGCTCAATAAAAGTAAATTAGTGATAGTGATTTTTTTACTTACATGCTCATACTATATATATAGAAAAATTGATATTTTTCTGAACAAGTGTCTTATTGCGAATTCTCTTTTAACTTCAAAATTCTGGGGTAGCGTTGCCAATTAGGCTTAAACCTTACTAAATTCCCTTTTCGATGTACTCAGACTGTTTTCAGTGACGTCATAAGCCAGAGTGAGCAGCTTTGCATTAAAAGTGAATTTTATTTCGAAAATGCAGTAAAAGAAAAATCGCAATGCCAACAGGATAGATGTCGGAGGTAAGTCGTAATATTTGATATTGTTGGATGTTATCTAGGTATAAATAGTTCCGTACATATGTCATTTGCAAGACACGCAAAGTTTGGAAAATTTCATAGTGCGATAAAAAGAACTTAACATGTATCYATCCTTCCATCCATCCATCTGTATCAGAAGTTTTGTTTGACTTTTCTTTGCTTTGCGAGTGAAATGCGAAAAACTGTAGAATTTTCATGACAGTTTCGTGCACGCACCTGCTACAAGGCTACCTGTCAGCTGCCACCTGCTACGCCCCCTCCTCCTTCTCCTCCACCCAACTGCTGTCAACAAAGCGTTGCAGCTTGGCTTTTTGCTGAAACTCTTTTGTTGTTGTTTTGTTTTTTATTCTACTCTCGTCTTTTTTATGGTTGTGACGGCAACGTCTCACTCACAGCTGCCCCCAACTCCGAGCGCGAACCAGTTCCCATTGACATGCTCCTTCTGCAGTTAACAAATCCCAGCGGACACGAATTTATGTTTGTTTGAGCATATTTCACCGTTAGTCATTCGTCACACACAAAAACAGCAGCAACAACAAAAATATATAAAGGCGCAGTCCAATGCGAATGGCCAAAATGATATAAGCAAATAAACTGTCCTAGAAACAGGGCGACAAAAAGAATTGGCTGACTCGCGCTACTTGGACAAAGGATTCAATTGTCGTTGATTAATGTTGGGCGCGTTAATTTGTTGATGCACGCGCCTTGGTTTCCAACGATTATAAATGACGTCAAATAGAGCTACAAATCCGTTGGGGACACACTACAAAAATAAATCTTTTATTCAGGCGTTGGTTCCAAGTTTAGTATTATTTAATAACGATTTTACGAGTCTAACCAGAAAGGCTGTGAGCAGCAGGAGCTGGATCATATGAACTGAGACACAGATATTAAACTTGAAGCGCTGAACCAGCAAATAAATCATTTAATATAAGGAGAAGGTTAGGAATTTAATGGTGAAGCTAGCAGCTAGATCAAGTGAACTAACTATCGGCATTTAATTGAGTTTAGAGTGAATTGTGGAACACGGGATGAGCCAGTAAATAAATCATATCAATATGAAAGAGCCCAGAGGAGTTCGAGTTCGAGTTCGAGGCTGGAGCTGGGCTGTAGCTGAAGCTGAAGGCAAGTGGAGCCTTGTCCTTCGCATTGGCAGGGCAGCGCAAACATGTTTGTAAAAAGTACAAGTTAATATTTATGTAATTCTGCAGATACGTGGAAGAAGAAGAAGCACAACAACGAAGACAGAGATCATTACATTGACATATTCATGCACATGCAGTCCAGCCATGTCCAGCTGTCCAGCTGTCCGGCAGGAATGCCATCGAAGAGGCGAACAATGCAGCGGTCAGCCGGAGGAAGCGAGGAGGAACGCACTTGATGGCCATGTAAAGTGCGGACTTGTACGTCCCACGCGTATCAACCTGCATTTGGGCCATGGTTGGGGCCTTTGTTTCTGCGTTGACAGCCATGGCCAGTGGAAAAGTATCTCACAGTTGGAGCTGCAACTGGGGTTGCGACTGGGGATGGAGGAGCTCTTTATCTGCGACAGTGGAATACAGCGAATTGCAGACAACTGCAGTCCATGTTCGATGCCTGCTTATCAAAAGGTCTCGCGTGTAACTGTCAAAAATATATATTGTAGTAGACCAGAACTCGAAGCCATTCGCAGTTAACTCTATGATAAACTGCTGTAGCTCAGGTGTAGCAGGGCTCATAGCCTGGGCCTGGGCCTGTGTCTGTGCCTGGACAGGATGCCGGCATTTATCTCGCTTGAATATGGAAATTTTTACTGGCATGCCAAGCACTTTCTATTTCCAAGCATTCTTTTATTTTGGTGCCGCTAAACGCTTCATTAAGTGCTCTGGCACTGTCCTGGCAGCCAGAAGAGTCCTTATGTCCTTATGCTACAATTAATTTCTGCAACCTGAATATGCATGGCGAAAAAACGGAAGTCCTTAGCCCAAGTGCCGCCAGCCGTCCACTGCAAAAGAAAATCCTGAAAGAGTCTGGCCGCTTGACCTCGCTGCCAAAGGACATGGGACAATGGACTCCCGGCTCTACAAAGTGAGTATAGGTACAGGCGACAGCAATGAGTACATAATGAGGCCTGGCCACTGTAACCACAAACAAGGATTTCATTTGTATAGGCTGGGAGCTAAAAAGGAGCTGGCCAAGATAAACAAATTAGCGCTGGGTGCTCTGCCCTCAACCCATTGTCAGGAGGAGAAATCAAAGTGCTGCGGGCCCCATCTAATCTATGGGTCGGCCGACCTCTCCTCCCGTGGGGTCCACGGGCACCGTCATATTGAATTTCTACACCGGACTGCGTGGGCTTTTAGCTTAATTGCTATTAGAACCTTTGGCTGCAATCGAGGTCCTTTTGCTGACCAAGCCATATGAGCTCATTGGGGCCAGAAACGCGCAATCAAACACTTGCCACCCCTCCGAACTTCAGCTTGGACTCAATTTTTGTTTTTCATTTGCGCAGGAGGCGCCGCTGGCGACGGCGACGGCGACGGCGACAGCGACAGCACCTGTGCGTGCCGCCTGGCAATTTGGGCTGTGGCGTTCCTGTATGCTGGCGCAGACAACAAAGGATTTGCCTCAAGATACGGGGCGGGGCGCAGAAAAAGCTGTCGCAGACATTTTCATAAGCCACCCTTGTAAACGGGGTATGCAAAAGGGTATGATGTGCTTGAAGATTAGATAAGTTTTGATGTGTTTTACTTTTACTTTTGCCTCGTTACCCATATGAACCGCTAATGAATCTTTCATTCGTACTCAAATGTAGTAAGCTTCCGGGTATACGTAGTATCTGCTAGTCGAGCCCCTGCTTATTGCTCTCTCTCCCAGCTATTATCACATGCTAAAATCCCAAGCGTTTGCGTGTTGAGTTGTCCATGTAACGGGGTATACCCCGCCCCGATTGGGTGTGCCGCCTAATTGCCAGGATATGCGACGCCCCACGAGTCAACTGAATGTCAATTCCTACTCCGTTTTCGACTCCGATTGTCGAGCTCAAATCAAGGTAGCCGTATGCTTCAATTTAGAGTCGTTATTTACGAAAACGTTTTGTTTTGCGTATTACTGAATAAAATGTTTTGAACGATGAACGAAGAGGAAAACGCTGCCCAGGCTGCGCAGGTGGAGCGAGAGCCGCCAAAGATTACGTACACCAATTTCAATGACGAGTCCGAGCTGAAGGCCATACAGAGCCTGATCGACAAGGAGTTGTCGGAGCCGTACTCCATCTATACGTATCGCTACTTCGTCTACAATTGGCCAGAGCTCTGCATATTCGCTCGGCATGGGGAGCTCTACGTGGGGGTCATCGTGTGCAAGCTGGAGACATTGGGCTGCATACTCCAGGGATATATAGCGATGCTGGCCGTGGATCCCGCCTACCGCCTGATGAAGATTGGGACTACGCTCGTCGCCAAGGCGGTCGAGTCAATGCACTCATTCAATGCGGATGAGATCGTCCTGGAGACGGAGCTGACCAACAAGGCGGCGCTGCGCCTGTACGAGAGTCTGGGCTTCATTCGCGAGAAGCGCCTGTTGCGCTACTATATGAACGGCGTGGATGCACTGCGTCTCAAGCTATTCTTTCCCTGGCGTCAAGCATAGGCAACTCAAAATTCCTGTATTTCTCCCAGTTTTCGATTTGATTTTATTGTTGCGTATTTTCTGTGTATATGTAGTTTTTTTGGTCGAAAGATAAGCAGGGTTTCTTTCTTTCCAGCTCTCATTTGCTGTCTCTTTCTTTCATTGCTGTCAATTAGCGCCCCCTGCAGCGACTCTCTGACTACTCGACTGGCTCTCCGTCCAGGTATAGCCCATCTTAATTGAGTGCAACAAGGATGCCTCACACATAACCTTTGATTACCCTTTGCCCCGACAGCCGCCTCTGTCGCTGCCGCTGCTGCTGCTGCTGCTGCTGGTGATGTTGATGACTGCTGCTGACTGCTACTCATGATGGGATAATTGCCCTTTTCAGGGTCACATCAAATGACTTTTGGGCTAGGGAGTCGTGTTATGCGAGCTACGGGCACTTATGATAAGGATACGCCCGCTAAGAGGTGGTCCTCCGGCAAGCAAACGAATGGGCATTCTAGTTAATTGAGGAAAAACCAAAACAGGATTGCTCTCCTTTGCTAGGGAGCCTTCATTGATTTCTCTTTTAAGTCAATAGACATCGATTAGTGTTAGAACTTTGACTTTGAGTACTGCAAAAATATGAACCAAATTTCTTTTGTTATTCTCATCGTTTATCTGTGCCCTTCTATGCGATTCTAAATTTTCATGTTCTCTCTCACTGCCCCTTTCCTGTCTTTATTCTTTCTATTTGGCATTTTCTTGATAATAACCTACTTTTGCATTTGTTTCTTTCAGTGTAAATCGTGATATCCTCCTGCTGGTATTAACACCAACTTGTGGGTAAGTCCATAAGAAAATAAACATGTTTAACAAGCAACAGCAATTTATAATTTATGATTTAAGAATTGACTAAATATACGAATTGGTTAAGCCGAGTTGGTTCGCTTACAATTAAATGTTTATGTATATATGCATATTATTATTTTCATTATGTTATATGACTGAATATTAATTAAATATTCCGAAATTATTCAGTCTGCATAATCAAAGGAGCTCCCAATTATTCTGATAACCATTCTCGGCCAGCTGGTTAGTATCCATAATCAGGGACACTCGATTGCATCTGGTAATTATAACTGCATTTGCATCGTATCATTGCCAATTATATAATCCAAACACACACACACACACACACACACAAATACACACACACACATAGAGCATTGGGATTTGTAGTCATTGTCATTTTCGGATTCTCGTTTGCGAATCGTCCAAGCAAGCGGCAAATGCCCAGAACAGCTTTGGGGGTTGGTCAGGATGATGTAGCTGTCTCTTCATGTGACTTGTGCATCCCCTGCTACAGCCTCCATCATTGTACACTGAGGGAAAAAAGCACGTAAACACATATTTAAAGCAGTGTAGGTACACCCCTACTCTGATATTCGCTCTGATTTAGATCAATGTTGCATCAAACCGGAGTTTTACTCAAGTCTAGTTACTCGACCTTTCTCTGAGTGTACAAACAGCTGAGATTTATGTGCAGCGGGCGCAGACAGAAGCTGACATCAAATTGAAATCCAGGCAAATGTCAACGGCAGCCGCTAGCCGCCAGGCTCAAGGCGAAGGCGAAGGCGAAGCCGACTCGAGTTGACTTGAGTTAAGCCAAAAATCCACATAAATAACGCGAGCAACGGGCGTCGCGACGGTCATAAGAGTAGAGCCCGCCCCGCTCCCGCTCATGCACCGCCTGCGTGTCCCTGGCAGAAGTCGTTGGGCTTGTTTCTGCGAATGGCAGGTGCAACTCAATCAACGCCGCCAGTCGAGGCGCAACGTTTGCGTCGCGTTGCGTTGCGTTGCATCTGGTCGAGTCAGCGGGCAGCTAAAGCTCCAGGTCCAACTTCAGGTACAGCTCCATTGCCCAGTCTCAGCGCCAGCCTCTTGGGCCACCTGCCCCAAAATGTTGGCAGCGCAAGACGCAGCCGCTCTCGCTCTCGAGTGGCTCAACTGAGGAAGCTGCCCGGTGGCTGTGGTCCATCTCAAGTGGGTATCAAAAGATCAACGATCGTCAGAGGGCAAGCCAAGTGGCGATCGAGTGTTTTGCAAAAAATAAGGGGAGGCAATATTTTCACAGCTCTAATGCTAACAAATCGAGGCTCAAATCACGCCAAGACCAACAACAAAGTTGCTTCTTCACTCTGTCTTGTGGCTGTTGCAATTGGAGAGAGCCTAACGGAAATGCTACATAGTAGTGCTGTCTAGAGCTACTCAGTGTTAGGAAGTGCAAGGATCCGTTTAACTCAAGTCTGATTTTTTTTTTGATATTATTATTTTATGTCTTCTGTTTTCTAATTTTACATGTCGCTGGTTCGTAGAGTCCAAATGAACTAGTTTGTCTGGAACTTCCATTTCAGCATTGTCTCATATTGTCTCATAGTTCGGAGAAACCAGATTAATAGTATTTTATCATAGATGATATACATGATGTAATATGCTATAAAATAAGCTTTTCCAGCCCGAAACGCAAAATTGCTTTAAAATTTCGTTATTAATTTAGACATTTATTTTCTTTAAATTTTATTTTATTGTTTTTTTTTTTCATTACCATTTTTTCATTGCTTTTTTTTTTTTTTTTTTTTTTTTTTTTTTTTTTTTTTTTTTTTTTTTTTTTTTTTTTTTTTTTGGGGTTGGGGTTTATCTCTTGTTTTTTTTTTTTTTTTTTTCTTTACACGCAAAATAAATTCAGTCTTTGGTTCTATCACAACATTTGTTTACACGTTTCGGCCCGTTCTTTGAGTGTGTTTGTTCTTTCATTTTTCATTTTTGTTTGTTGTTTTGCTGTTCTGTTCTGCTTTTCGGCTGTTCTGCGTGAAATGTTGGAAAACGAAACTCGTAATGCAACGCAACGGAACGGAACGGAAAAGTGAAGCCGAACGAATTTTGAATTTCAGTTTAAAACTAAAATCAAAATTTTACTAACTTTGTTTTTGTTTTGTTTTTCTTTTTTTTTTTTTGTCTATGTCTATGTTTCTCTCCTGGTTATATATTAATATATATATTTTCGATGTATATATACTATATATCTTGTATTTCGCTAGCTGCTTAGGACACGCCCAAGTCGTGCAGCAAATGTTGTGTGATCACCTCGCCCTGCTCCTCCATCAGCTGCGCCGTCACAGTGTTGATCAGGTTGAAGGCAATCGCGAAGACGGTAAAGGCACAGTAAACACCCAGTGCCAGCCACCAAATCAACTGCTCGTACTCCCGATGCCCGAAGTTCTTGAGCACCAGAAAGCCAATGGTCAGGCCAGCCAGGGCGCCGGTCAGATGCGCTATGTACGAGACCTGGGGACCCTTGGCGAAGGCGGGCGTGGCAGCGCCATCAAAATATTGCGTATACAAAGCATAGCCCAGATCACAAGAGACTGCAGAGAGAGAAAGAGAGCAAAGGATATTCTTCAGTTAGTAAAAGTTTCTCAAGAGAGGGAGAGAGAGGCATAGCGAGATAGAGATAGAGAGTCGTTTGCTACTCACCAAAGATGACCACGGAGCCCAGCTGCGTGGATGCGGATTTCATGTGCGCATAGTTGAGCGTGATGTTGGCCAAATGTGCTGCCAGCAGGGCATAGACACCGCCGCTGGCGCCGACCAGGAACACCTCGGAGTCGACGACGCTGGTGCCCAGCGAGCCGGCGAAGACGCCGGCCAAGTAGATGACGCCGATGCGGGCCGTGCCGTGCATCACCTCCAGGGGCACACCGAAGAATAGTTGGATGATGATGTTGAAGCCCAAGTGGAACCAGTTCGCGTGCAGGAACATGTAGCTGAAGAACCGCCAGACTTCGAGGCGGCGATCGGGTCGATAGACGAGCACCGAGTCGCTCGGTATGGGCACCGGCTGGCCGAAGCTCTGGGCGGGCATTGTGTAGCGGTCATAGGCGAAGATTGCAATCTGCAAAAAGGCACCAAAAATAGAAGAGCGAATTAGTTAGAGTTGGAGTTGAACTGGAGTTGGAATTCGAATTGGAATTGGGGTTGCTTTGATTTATGTTGTTGTTGTTGTTGCTGCTGCTGTCGCAGCACGCGACGTCAAACTTTGCCTTCTGTCCCACATAGACACACGAACACACTCACACGCACACAGAAGTGCTGCCAAGTCCTGCCAACTTTATTTTGGCTTGCGCTGTAATATGAGCGCGCGCTCGCTCTAACACGTTGTCTCGACAGCAGCCTAGCTCGCTTGCACTTGCTGTGTCTGTTTCTTCGTTTAGTTTTTATGATTGTTTCGTTTGGCTGTTGCTGTGGTTGTTGTTGTTGTAGCTTGTTTACAATCGATTTTGGGGGCGCCAGGCAGGCAGCCAGAGACGTGTCTGTGTGCGAGTGTGTGCGCGCTGTGAGTGTGTGTGTGTAAGAATGCGCAAAAGAAAGCAGCAAAATTTTATCGCTTTTAGTTAGAAGTTGAGAATTTGTAAAGTTCTTCAACGAATTTTTATTGCATTTTGCGGTTCTTTGATTCAATAATAATAATAAATTATTAACTAAGGCAACAACAACAAGAACTATGACCATTGTCTGTGAGAGGGTTTCAGACACTAGAAACGAGTGGACAAGCGGAAATGAAATCCTAGAGCTGGAACTGTGAACTAGTAGTAGTTCCAACTGTGTGTCAATTCAATAAGGAAATGGAAACGTTTCCAGCACATCGTGGAATGGAACACTGAGTGGAATGTTGCAATCCCTCTCTCACTTTCCCTTTCTCCCACCCTCCTCCACTGTCTTCTACTCACCTCAATGACGGAGATCATCAGAATGAACCACGGCCAATGTTTGCGATGCTCGAATTTAAGCATCATCAGTTCATCCGTTTCCATCGGTGGCATGTTGCATGTTGTAGCTGTATTAGCTGCTGCTGATGCTGTTGTGGATGCTGCTGCCGCTGCTGCTGATGTGCATGTTGCTGTTGTTGCTGGCAGCTTGTGCTGCATGTAAATGTGCTCGCCCTGGCGGGTGCAGCAAGTGCTGCTCGCCGTGCTGCAGTCCGTGTCGTAGGAGGAGCAGGCAAAGGAACTGTGCGAGGAGGCAAAGGAGACGGCTGCTGGAATGTCAATGATGGTCGCCGCTGTTGCCGTTGTCGCCGTCGCTGTTTGTGGCGCCTCCAGCTGCTGCTGTTGCCCACCCTCTTCCTCATCCAGCTGCAGCTTCGTGTGGCTTTCTGTGCTGTTTGTTGTGGCTTCCATTTTTTATTTACTTTTTTCCCTCTCTGTTTTATGCGCTTTACAAAAGTCTTTTCTTTGCTTATTTTTCTTGTTCTTCTGAAAGAAATGAACGGGAATAAAAGTTTATAATTAATTAAGTGTAGCGGACAATAAACAAAAAAATCAATTAAGTACATAAATTATTCATAAAACAGAAGCCGAAGTAAATAAATTTACAGCCAGGCAACGACAGCGTCATACGCTGTAAAGCAGGATTACAGATAGGGTCGCTTGACTGGGAATTCCATTTTCTATTCCAAATTGATAAAATTGTAGCCCTACATTTTATTTGTTAGATATTTGTATATATGTATATGTATAAATTTATAGTTCACTTTCTATTCTTGCTTTTCAAACCGATATGCCTTTATCAAGGTGATTTACAGAGCATCGGGAACAACAACAATTACACAACTTGAAAATTTCTTTCTGCCAGCGAATTGTTTATTGTCGAGAACTTGGAAACTTGCATTCCTAGGCTCCCCATTCGTAGACCGCCTCCGCCATCTCCCGTCTCCTGCTCGGCCGCCTGCTTCCGCTTGCAGCTACCTCTCCCGCCCCGCCCCCGCTTCGAGTGTCTGTATGTTTGTTTGTATGTGGGTCAGCAGTAACATCTCCGGCCTCGGAGGCCCATAAAATTTGATGGTCTTGCTCTTGCCTGGCCCGCGTCGTCCTCCCACGCCTCCGCCGCTAAGGGCGGGTTGGCAACTAAAATTAGCCAAAGGCGCGCACGTCGAGAAACTAGTTGAAGGCGACGTCACTCTCCACACTCCACTCCACAAATGGAACTTCACTTGGGGACTTGAGTGTGTGGCACACTAAAAGGGAGTTCGGTGTTGCAATTGCTGCTTAGAACTAAACTATTTGTACTTACAGTGAGCACTCGCGTAATGAACACTAAGTAAGCAAAGCAGAAGCCTATCAACTCTTTATAAGTATCTGAGTTCGTTCGCTCCAGCGAGATTCCACTGTAATCTGCTTATATAATTTCAACTTAAATGCCTTAAAGTGTGTTGCACTTAAGACATAACCAAATGGCTTTTAATATTTGGTTGCAACAACAATAACGACAATGGGAAGGCCATCTGGCTAATGGGCCAGCCAATCAGCTAATAAAACGAAATTGTTGTCAATTTTTTGGTTAAAACAAATTATGTTAATCGCATTCGTTTCAATTACGAACAAACGCTAATGACATTTTTGTGGGTTGCACAAAAGGCAGAAGAAAAAGAGGAAATTAGAAATCAAAACAAATTGAAAATGAAATAGAAATGAAATGAATCTTGCTTTATTCACATTTGCACGCCTAAATTGACTTATATTCTGCATTGTTGTTGTTGTTTCATTTTTATAAGTCGCTCAACAATAGGCAAAAGAAACAAACTTTTAAATTTAACGGTTGCACAATACACACACACGCACACACATACTAAAGCTGCGCTTACTTCCTCTCGCACCCACACAGGCACACATAAACCTTGGTTTGCCTTGAAGTTGCGCTCGCTCACTCGCATATTTTAGTAGTTATTGCAATTATGCTTGTGTGTGTGTGTGTGAGTGTGTGGGAGCGAAGCGAAGCTCGCAGCGCACTTCTAACTGTGCATGTTTGTTGTTGTCTTGCTTGGTTGCCTAGCAGCCAGCGGGGGCCGTTATTTGTTGTTTGCCTTTCTGTGTCTCTCTGTGTGTATATGTATATGTGTGTGGCATTTCAATATGGCACAAAATCGCAGCCGCTGCTTATTAATAAGTTAATTAATTAATTTTATTTCTTTTTTTTGTGTTGATTTTTGCGCAAGTTGCACCAAATAAGCAAACAGCATGAAAAATTCGCAATTGTGGCTGCTACTGCCGCTGCCGCTTCTGCTGCTCGCGTGTTGCACGTTTGCCAATTAACAGCAGACAGCAGACATGAGACAAGTTGCGTATGAAATGAAATTAACGCAAACTCGACGCTGGTCAAACGCCAATTGCTGCCGTTGCCGTCGCATTGTTTCACATGACCCTTTCGCTCGCTGGCTCTCTCGCTTGCCATGTTTGCATTTTTTTTTGCTACACTTGCACCTTGCTGCCACCCCTAACCAACAACAACAGCAGCAGCAACAAAAAAAAATAAAAAATGAAACGCGACTTGCAACAACTGTTGAGTTGAACAAACTCATTACGCGTTGTTGCACGCTGCACTTATTTCTGTTTTTTTTTTTATGCCTGTCTCTGTCACACTCACATAGTCTTTCTCCCCCTTTTTTTCTTGTCTGCGACAATTTCTATTGCAATTTTTGTCATTAAGGTCAAACTTGGCTGTCTTCTTCTTACCTTTATTTAGTGTATTTGCTATGTATTTTTCATAAATATTTGTATATTTCTTTTTGTATCGCTTGTTTATCCAAAATGCGTCAGAAGGGGACGCGCCTTTAATCCAATTGCTGCTTCAGTTAGTTCGAGTATTTTTGTTGTTGTTGAAGTTGTTCACTTTGTTTTTGTTGCTGCTTGAAAATTTTGAACTTTGTTTTAATGCTCATAAAATTCATTTTGAGCGCAGAGCGAAATATTTATTATTGCTTTTCTTTTCTTTCGCACTCGACACACACTTTATGTATTTCATTTGATTTTTCTATCTCGAATTTTTGTATGTTGTTTATCGTTCCGTTAGCCGTTAACTGAATTCGAGTCTCACGCAACTCAATTGAATCTTTATTATTCCTTATTCTTTTTACGATGCTCTCGCATTCGCGTCTCGCACGCAACTAAAGCAGCTCCAAGCAAGTTCGTTCTTTAAATAGCTGGCCGCGCAACTTCTCGCATGCGGCTCTATGCACTTGGGGGTGGGTTGCCATCGAACAAGCAGGTGAGACCAGAGAGCGAGAGAGAGTGGCACAACACGTCGAACCAAGCCGGTTGCAACTTGCAACCGCTGCATTTGCTGCGAAACTGCAAAAGAAGCTCTCTGCTTCTACACATACATGCATTTGAATTTGATAATATTCTTATACTTGCCCAAAGCTGACCTGSTAAAGAGAAAGAGAGAGAGAGGGAGACTGAGAGAGCGATCGATTCGAAGTCGCTTCAAACATGTTGCGTGTTGTGTTTTCGTTTTTCTGTCCCGTTGTGAGCGTATAAGAGTATAAGAGTAGCAACATTCTTGCCGTCTGCAACATGCATGGCTAGCAAATCCGGTCTTTTAAACTTGAATTTCGTGTGTAATACAACAAACGTCCGTCTTAGTCGCATTCCATTGATACCATTCATCCAATGCAAACGTATACGAAATGCAGCGTTTACCTGAGCAATTCCGTTGCGCTGTTGCTGTTGCCTGGGCTCGATTGATTATGCGTAATGTGCGCTTAGTTAATCGGCTGGCACTCTGTTGAGCAACGCATAACGGTATGATTCATAGCTGATTTTTGCCACCGTCATTGACTTGATCAGTTGGCCAGTCAGAGTCAGCTGCAAAGCTCGCTTTGTGATGAAATCTTATGAGTCGTTCAATGTTCTAGGCAGGCATTGCCAACGAATGACCTTCAGCTTAACTGTCTTTGTTTTAAGGGAGGAGATATGCGTATGTAGATGGATGGGTGCATAAGTATTGAGTGTTTTGTACGCTGAACGATATCTATACATATCTATATTGTATTTGCTTCATATAATATGAAGAAAAAAATGAATACATATTTCTTGTCTTTCTTTTAAGTGGGATTTCTGACTCGTAGATAATATATTCAACTAACTTGCTATAGAAAGTATGTATATAAAAATGTAACGGAATAGATATTCCCTCAATCTCAGAATTGTAAATTCCTCTTTATATCTGTATCTATCTATGTCTATGCGATCAAATCGAGAAGGTATTTAATTTCACACCTTCGCTAAAGAGAAAGGTTTACTTAGATAGATACGAATCGGTAGCAAAAATAAATATTTATACAAATTATTAGAGGTAGCGGATGCCTTGGGCCTTTGATCCGTAGGCAGTTTAAGCCTTCGCCAGAAAATGCCACAAAATGTTGCACAAAAGGAGTAGCAGAGTAGCTGACTAGCTGAGTAGCTCAATGCAGCTACGTTGCAGGATCAGAGGAACGTGCGGTACGTGTTTTGCATGATAAGCCGGGAATTTACACAGATGCTCAACAGATAAGACAACACACACACACACACATACAGGCACACAAATCGAACTGTGTTCTGCTCTCGCAGTGCATGAAAAGTGAAAACGCGTTTTCCAAAACATTCACCAAGTGAGTTTTTCACACACCAAATCACCCGCAACTCTTCTCGACTGAGATTTATGATGACTTTTTAACATGTGCAACAGGTAAGCCCGCACACACATACACGGAGCGAGTGCAGTGCGTATGTGTCTCTGTGTGTGTGGGAGAGAGAGARAGAGAGATTGACCATGACCATGACCAAGCACGTCATCGTAAATCCTTTTTTCCCACGTTCTCTCAAAAATCTGGGAGGCACGTCCCGGTCACCTTTTGGCCTCCACACTTCAGGTGAGGCAAGTCGCAAGTTGCAGTCACAGGTACTCATAATTGCCGCCTTGCTGGGCGTGTGGGCGTGTAGGAGTGTAGGCGTGGCATGGCGAGTTGCTCTCGGGGAATTCCTTGTCGTCTCGTTTTTCCCACTGCCGCAGCAGCAACATGTGCGTGCCACATGTGCGATTCAGGAATTTCCGCACAGGAAGATTGCTGCAGGTTCTGCGATGTGCGATGTGCGATGTCCTTGCTCCTTCCGTTGCATTGCGGATTTTCATTTGAATTGCTCAACGCGTTTTCGCGACTTCGACTTTTGTATTGCACTTGTCCGAAAGTTCCCACAAACTATGTGAGTCCTTGTGTCTGTGTGTGCATATGTGTGTGAGTGTGTTTTTCCCGCATTTGAAGTCATGTGTCCTGCATGAGGATAACTAGTCTATAGCGCTGCCATGCAGAGGCGCGACTCCTGAGCCAGTTCCCAGAATGTGACGCAGATGCAGGCGACTTGCCAGCCTTAATAATTCAATTGGTGGAACATGAGCCTTTGGCATCAGCAATGCGGAGCTTTAAACCGAAGCCCTG